CCGGCTGCTGCCGCCTGGTGATGCGTTGTACTCGGAGCGCGAATGTCGTGGATTTGCTCTCCGACGCAGCGGCGTGGTGCTGCTCCAGTAGCTCATTGGCATCTTCTGTTGATGCGACACAAGCCCTGAACTCATTGGCTGTGTCGGGTGGTGGCGGGTTTGACGACACATTTGTAGATGGTGCTGCCAGCCGATGTTGAAAACAGGATGTCAACATTGCTGGCACAGTGCTTCGGACACAGCCATCATGAACAGACGCAACACAAAGTCAAAGATCTCCTTCCCTGTATAGCCTTACTAGGCTGTTGGGGCAAGTGCTGTTAGCGAGTAACAGCAGCGATGAAGGCCGGCACTGTGACACACGAGGGGGTGGGTGGCCAGAACCACACAGAGACCCACAGACTCATCACACAGAGAACCATAGACTCATCACACAGAGACCCACAGACTCATCACACAGAGACCCACAGACTCATCACACAGAGACCCACAGACTCATCACACAGAGACCCACAGACTCATCACACAGACCCACAGACTCATGACACAAGAGAGCCATAGACTCATCACACAGAGAGCCATAGACTCATGACACAGAGACCCATAGACTCATCACACAGAGACCCACAGACTCATCACATAGAGACCTACAGACTCATCACACAGAGACCCACAGACTCATCACACAGAGACCCACAGACTCATCACACAGAGACCCACAGACTCATCACACAGAGACCCACATACTCACCACACAGAGACCCACAGACTCATCACACAGAGACCCACAGACTCATCACACAGAGACCCACAGACTCACCACACAGAGACCCATAGACTCATCACACAGAGACCCACAGACTCATCACACAGAGACCCACAGTCTCATCACACAGAGACCCATGGACTCATCACACAGAGACCCACAGTCTCATCACACAGAGACCCATGGACTCATCACACAGAGACCCACAGTCTCATCACACAGAGACCCACAGACTCACCACACAGAGACCCATAGACTCATCACACAGAGACCCACAGTCTCATCACACAGAGACCCATGGACTCATCACACAGAGACCCACAGACTCATCACATAGAGACCTACAGACTCATCACACAGAGACCCACAGACTCATCACACAGAGACCCACAGACTCATCACACAGAGACCCACAGACTCATCACACAGAGACCCACATACTCACCACACAGAGACCCACAGACTCATCACACAGAGACCCACAGACTCATCACACAGAGACCCACAGACTCACCACACAGAGACCCATAGACTCATCACACAGAGACCCACAGACTCATCACACAGAGACCCACAGTCTCATCACACAGAGACCCATGGACTCATCACACAGAGACCCACAGTCTCATCACACAGAGACCCATGGACTCATCACACAGAGACCCACAGTCTCATCACACAGAGACCCACAGACTCACCACACAGAGACCCATAGACTCATCACACAGAGACCCACAGTCTCATCACACAGAGACCCATGGACTCATCACACAGAGACCCACAGACTCATCACACAGAGACCCATAGACTCATCACACACAGACCCATAGTCTCATCACACAGAGACCCACAGACTCACCACACAGAGACCCACAGACTCAACACACAGAGACCCATAGACTCATGCCACAGAGACCCACAGACTCATCACACAGAGACCCACAGACTCATCACACAGAGACCCACAGACTCACCACACAGAGACCCACAGACTCACCACACAGAGACCCACAGTCTCATCACACAGAGACCCATAGTCTCATCACACAGAGACCCACAGACTCATCACACAGAGACCCACAGACTCATCACACAGAGACCCACAGACTCACCACACCCCGACCCAGGATTCGAACCTAGGCTCATTTTCCTCCCCACCACAACCCTCCCCTCCCCTCCCCCGTCGTCCTGCACCCCACACAAGGCGATGGGAAGGTGGCAGCAGCAGCAAGGCATTCTGGGATAGCGCGACCTACCGACCGACCGGGCGGGCGGTGTGTGTGGCGGAACTCGGCGCTGACAGCCCCTGAGAGTGATGGTCCCGTGGCACGCAAACCCGCGGCGGGCGTGCGGCCACGAACAATGCGGCCGGGCGATGCTGACACGTGGAAACGCACACGCACGCACACTCATCCGTGCGTGCGTGCGTGTGCGAGTGTGTGGGGGGAGTGGTGGCGCAGCGGTTAGCGCGCTGCGACCGGAACCCGGCAGACACCCGAGTTCGACTCCTGGTCACGGCCACCGCAAACGCCGGTGACGGGTTTTTTTAACCCCCCTCCTGGGCCTCCCCTAGGGTCGACTCAGCCTCAAATGGGTTGGCTGGCTGGTGCTGTGCGTAAAAGCATCGCCACGAGGGAGACAAAGGCGGCCAGGCGTCGTTGCTGGCCACCCACCCCCTCGTGTGTCATTGCGGCCTTTGTAAGTGCTGCTGCTACTCTGCTAGCAGCACTTGCACACGTGGTTACTGCTGCTGCTGCTACTCTGCTAGCAGCACTTGCACACGTGGTTACTGCTGCTGCTACTACTCTGCTAGCAGCACTTGCACACGTGGTTACTGCTGCTGCTACTCTGCTAGCAGCAGTTGCACACGTGGTTACTGCTGCTGCTGCTACTCTGCTAGTAGCACTTGCACACGTGGTGGTCACGTGGTTTCTCTCTGGGTCGGTGCCCTGGTTTTTTATTGCGCGCTTTCATTTAACTCACTCTGTCTGTTGTTGTTGTTGTAGCCTCATCATGTAACTCAATTTTAACCCACTTCCCAATGTGGTATCGACTGCAAACTTGGTATAGGTATGTCACACTGATGACAATACTATATTCTATAGTAAAAATATTTTTAAGTGTTTTTAAACATAAATTTTTACATGTTATATTTCGGCTTGGCTCTAATTGTCCACGCTCAACTGACGTTGGCTGTAATTGGCCACGGCACCTTACGTTGTGGCAAGCTTCGGGGCCACTCCCTGGAGTCGTGGAGTTCTTCCATTACGAGTAGGGTACATTTCATTAAAGCGTGTTTTTAAAAAAAAGTATTTTAAAACATTACTTATTCCCTCCACGTTTCAAATCGACGTCGCGCATTGAGAGAGTATTTGACCGTTGCTATAAATGTCCCCGTGATGGTGATGGTGGTGATGGTGGTGATGGTGGTGGTGATGATGGTGGTGGTGATGGTGGTGATGATGGTGATGATGGTGGTGATGATGATGGTGGTGGTGATGATGGTGATGGTGGTGATGATGATGATGATGGTGGTGGTGCTAGTGGTGGTGGTGGTGATGGTGGTGGTGATGGTGGTGATGGTGGTGGTGATGGTGGTGGTGATGGTGGTGGTGATGGTGGTGATGGTGGTGGTGCTAGTGGTGGTGGTGGTGATGGTGATGGTGGTGATGATGGTGGTGATGATGGTGGTGGTGATGGTGGTGAGCCACTATCGTTGAGCTGTCATTTGTGATGTCCAGGTTTGCTTATTGAAAAAGAGCGACATTTCAGCTCAGCGGGGCCTTACAAAATTACAATAGTTTAGTCTAAATTTGCTGTGGCTGTTCCACCTGAAGACGGAAGCTTGTGTTGCCTACGAAACGTCGTGATTTAATTTATTTATTTTAATTTTATTATTTTTCTTCTTGGTTCTTTCGGTTAAAGTCACGTAGAAGGGAAATAACAGCGTCTGAATGAGCACCACCATGCTTGGCAGCGTATATTTAAGCTGGGTTAGAGGAGGAAGCGCGCCTTGACAAAGGACAGACCTGTTCTTCACCTGAGGACGGCTGCTTGCGTTGTGGCCGAAACGTCGTGAGAATTGTATTTTATTATGTTTTATTTTTATTATTTTATTATTTTATTATTTCCCTTCTACGTGACTTTACCGAAAGAACCAAGAAGATGAATCCCTGCAGTCGCGAAAGTTTTAAATCGATATTTTTATTTTATTTTTCATTTTTTATCTACGTGACTTTACCAAAAGAACTTGTTTAGTTTGTTTAGTTTAGATGAGAATCCTAGTAGGGGGTAGTGGTGGTAGTAGTAGTGGTAGTAGTGGCGAAACCTCACAGCGACTCAAATGTTAACTGTCCGCTGTGGGCTTACTGCACCGACACACCGGTTCACGTGATGACTCCCTTACAGATCGGCCGTGTGGGGCGGTGGTGCTGGTGGCGGCGGGTTTCACGACACACATGAATAGTCATGCGACAGGGATACTCACACGAGCTGGCCCAACAAAAACACCTCTCCTATGTATAACATGGCTGGCGAAAGCCACAACGAGTACTACTACCACCACTACTACCACTACTACCACTACTACTACCACTACTACTACTACCTACCTATACTACTACTCACTACTACCACTACTGCCACTACTACTACCACTATTACTACTACTACCTATACTACTACTCACTACTACCACTACCACCACTACTACCACTACTACCACTACTACTACCACTACTACTACCACCACTACTACCACCACTACTACTACCACCACTACTACTACCACCACTACTACTACCACTACTACCAATAACTTCCACCACTATTACCACTAACTATTACCACTAACTACCACCACCACTACACTGACTACCATCACTACTACCACTACCACCACTACTACCACCACTACTACCACCACTACTACCACCTCTACTACCACTACCACCACTACTACCACCACTACTACCACCACTACTACCACTACCACCTCTACTACCACTACCACCACTACTACCACCACTACTACCACCACTACTACCACTACCACCTCTACTACCACTACCACCACTACTACCACCACTACCACCACTACCACCACTACTACCACCACTACCGCGTGTTCAACCACATGGTGGTGATGATCTTTGTGTTGACCGAGCCACTTGCCCCGACACTCTGTGTGTTGTCGTCATTCATTGTTGTTGTTGTTTGTTGTTGTTGTTGACAGAGGAAGCGGCTTCAGGAGGGGCCGCACGCCACGGCACCGACGCTGGCGCCGACCCGGCCCTCCCGCCGGTGCCGCCGGGAGGGGGGGTAGCGGCCCCCCCGGTGGTGCCGGTGCCAGCGGGGCCGGGGGGGGGGCCGGGGGGGGTGGTCCCCACGGTGGCCGCCTGGCTGGGCCACAGCGGCTCCCTGCGGCGCACGGGCAGCTTGCGCTCCGGCCAGTCACGCACAGCCGACCACGCACGTACGTACACGCGTGTGTGTGTGTGTACGCGTGTGTGTGCGTGTGTGTGTGTGTACGTACACGTGTGTGTGTGTGCGCGCACGTACACGTGTGTGTG